CCTATAGATCAGCCTATCTGTGCTAGACCCTACCTTATTTACATGTTCTTATGAATACTGAGCAAACAAGAAGATAGAGCATACTGTGTAAGACAAAATATAATCATACTACTATTACAAGAAAGTCTTATAGCTTATATTAGCTTATAATGGTTCAAAATATGTAAATACTGTGAAAACTGTAAAATGCAAAATAATTGATCTCAATTTCTGAGAAACAGTATAAGGCATTATAAGATCCAAAAGGTTTGTCAATATTCAAAAGGTTTATTAGTATTTCAAGCCTAAGGAAAGCTTGCTGTTCTTTATAATAAGTAAAGACATTGTATACATTATAAGGCATAAAAGATTTGTTCACATTATAAAGGTACATAAAGTTTTTTATCCCTTACAATAAGTAAAATGACTTATATTTGATCTTGAAAATGATGAGGAGTATATACTATAGGAAGGATAGTATTAATTATAATGTATGCAAATTAATATAACAGTCTAAAAGACTGTTCCAAACCAATATACATTTTTCTGCCTTATAATGTTGACAGAAGCCTTACTAAAGAATTGTAATGTATATACAAACTCTACTTATATTCATTTTACTTTTTTGCCCTTACATGCATTAATAATGATTCAAATTATTTATATTTTTGTGGCAATATTATGATGTTACTAAATACTAATTATAGCACTAACAGGTGTAGGAGTGAGAAGAAAAGTGGTGAAAGCAGAAAGCATACTGTATGAGTGTCAGGGCAAGAAATGAGACAAACAGCTGATCTTGTTAACACAAAGTAAGGGAAACAGTTATGAGACTTGCTAAATGAGGCAAGTAAGGTGAATGTCAATGTGTAGAATTAGAAAGTGGAAAAACAAACCTAAACCTTATCCATGTGTGTATTGTCTAGCAGGTGAGTGTCTTACATTCAAGTAGCCAGTCCTTGACCCTGGCCAGCCAATCCTCCTACTTAGGACTGTTCACACCCTTTGTGAGCCTTCCAAGCTCTCAAAATGGCTGCAATCAATGACTCCTTGTCCTCCTCAGGTTCAATAGTGAGCAATTCACCAGAGGAGCCAAAAACCTGCCTAGAAACCTGGTAGTTAGTTAATGTAGCTTTAAGTAAATTTAAAAATGTATAAAACATACCTATCCTACCAATTAAGTGTGTCCTGGACCTATAGAGACTCACAGTCTTTGAAAAACTCAAGAATAGTGTAATAAAATGCTTTGAAATTAAAATTTTCATTGACCTTGCTGAAGGTTTCAAGTGTTGAAATAAAAAAGCATGCCTATCATATCAAAAGTATTGTCAGTGTCACTAGATTATATTAGTATCACAGCCTGAGTACTTACCTGGACACATATGTAGGCAATCATCTCTAGAGTGATAGACTTCATACCTACAATCTCAGCATTATTTGCCTGCATTGTTTTACCTTTGCTACCAGGCTCAGCATCTGCAGAACTTGAGCTTGTAAAGATCAGCCAAAGGCACTACAAAAGAAGTATCAGTATTTGTAAAGAATAATAGGAGTGTACTTACTTTGACAAGAAAACAGCCTCAGAATAGGCCCTTGTCCATTACTTCTGGATTGTATGACCCTTCCTCATACAGGAATGCAGGGAATGACCTATGTGTGATTGGGTATTTTTTTGACTTTACATTGTCTTCAAAACTATACAGTAAGGATATGAGTAAGAGTGTTCATTTTTTGTTTGACTTCATCTGTTGGTCTGTATACCTTTCCTTACTACTGTGTGCATGCAGGAGTAGCATTAGTACAATCATCTGTAACAATTGTAGATAGTGTATACCTCTGCCCATCTTACTTAGTTGATTGTCAATCAGTGGTTCTGGCCAGCCTTCCTTGAGCACATAGTAGTGCCCCCTCTGTTTGAGTGTAGATGTGTCATTACTGTGACCTTGCTCTGCTTTCTTGTTCACCTAAAGTAAATAGAATAGATTAGC